ACCGATGCAGAAATGAATGTACGTCCTTATATTTTAAGAAAGTCGAACAAAAAGATATCGAATTCTCCTTTGCAACTTTCAGAAAAGATTCTTCCTGCTGATAACCGTTTTCTGATAACGGATCCATACTGATTACCTATAAAATAAATGAAATAAAGTAAACCTTTTTGTTTGTATTTAAAGAAATATTTTGTGCTTAAAGAGCGAACCTTTAACCTCACTAATGGATTTTAGAAATGATATCATAATGTAAGTGTAACATAGGATAGGCTGTATGGTGTAGGGGTTACATTGTAACCCTGTGGTAGCGGATTTAGGGTGTAAGGTATAGGTTTAACAAAAAATAAAATTTAGGGGCTTTAAGGCTTAGACTATGCGACTGAGAGGTTTGGGTTATAGAAATTAGGGTGAAAGGTATAATGTGTAAAAGTTAAAATGATTAGGGTATAGGGTGTAAATGAGGTATAGGTATAGAGTATAGGGTGTAGGTTACAAAGCATAGGGTATAAGGTATAATGGTTATAAGGTATAGGGTTTAGGTCGAAGAGTGTTGGGTATATGCTGTAGGGGGTGGGGTTACAAGGTATAGGATTTAGGGTGCAGGCTGTAGGGTATAGGGTATAAAGCGTCGGGGTTACAAGGTATAGGGTGTATCATGTAGTGAGGAATAGGGTGTAAGGTATAGAGTGTAGGGTGTAAGAAAGATGGGGTAAGGTTACAAGGTATAGGGTGTAAGGGTTATAAGGTACAGGGATTAGGGTGTGGGTGTAGCGTATAGGGTATGGGTTGTAGGGTGTATGGGTTACATGGTATAGGGTGTAGGGGTTACAAGGTAAAGGGTTTAGGGTATAAGGTATAGGGTGCAGGGTATAGGGTATATGGTGTAAGGTATTGGGCGTAGGGGTTACAAGGTCTAGGGTATAGGGGTTACAAGGTATAGGGTGTAGCCTTTAGGGTATAAGATGTTGGGTGAAGGGTATAGGGTGTAGCCTGTAAGGTATAGGGTATATGGTATAGGGTGTAGGGGTTACAAGGTAAAGGGTGTAGGGCATAAGGTATAAGGTAAAAGCTATAGAGTAAAGGGTATTTTGTTTAAGGTATAGGGTATGGGGTATAGGATGTAGGGGTTACAATGTAAAGGGTGTAGGGTGTACGGTATAGGGTGTAGGGTGTAGGGGTTAGAAATATAGGGTATAGGGTGTAGGGGTTACAAAGCATAGGCTGTAGGGTGTCGGTTATGGGGAATAGGGAATAGACTGTAGCGGTTACAACCTATTGGTTATGATAAATAGCTTGTGGATTGTTGTGTAAGTTGTTTTGCTAAAAGATTATTATATAATAACGTATAAATATACTCAATAACGAAACATGTTGAAGTAAGGCAATGTTCAATATTTTTAAAAAATAAACATTCCATTATAATTAAAATATTTATTTAATTAGGGTTTTTCAATCGCAATTTCATATTAAGCAAAATTATGGATTTCTCTCTGTGTTGCTCACATTGTGAATGTGGACGGCCTTCAGATTAACAACATAAGTTTTCATTTGGAGATAATCATAAAGATCTCCCTTTCTGTTATTTTTAAAAAATACATCAAATTCAATATACATTTTCCCGTACAGTGTATATTATAGAAATATAGTAAAAATCAAATTACCTACCTCATTAAATGAAAATAAATGTATAAATCCTTTCAAAGTAGTAGTCAATATGGCGTCAAGTCAATGAAACAGTATATGAGCAATTCATATAGAAATAGATGAACAAAATGCATGCGCAGAAAATTCTATTTATAGTCAACGGAAAAATAAAATTTATTTTTAGTAACATGATCAAGTCTTCTTGATCAAGAGGACAGGTCTACTACTAACCCTAACCCTAACCCTAACCCTAACCCTAACCCTAACCCTAACCCTAACCCTAACCCTAACCCTAACCCTAACCCTAACCCTAACCCTAACCCTAACCCTAACCCTAACCCTAACCCTAACCCTAACCCTAACCCTAACCCTAACCCTAACCCTAACCCTAACCCTAACCCAAAACCCTAACCCTAAACCCTAACCCTAACCCTAACCCTAACCCTAACCCTAACCCTAACCCTAACCCTAACCCTAACCCTAACCCTAACCCTAACCCTAACCCTAACCCTAACCCTAACCCTAACCCTAACCCTAACCCTAACCCTAACCCTAACCCTAACCCTAACCCTAACAGTATATGAGCAATTCATATAAAAATAACCCTAACCCTAACCCTAACCCTAACTTAACCCTAACCCTAACCCATATAGGGTATAGGGTATAGGGGTTACAAGGTATAGGGTGTAGGGTATAGGGGTATAGGGGTTACAAGGTATAGGGTGTAGGGTATAGGGGTATAAGGTTACAAGGTTCAGGGGTTAGGAGGTATAGGAGTTATAAGGTATAGGGGTTACAAGGTATAGGGGTTATAAGGTATAGGGGTTACAAGGTATAGGGTATAGGGTATAGGGGTTCCAAGGTATAGGGTATAGGGGTTACAAGGTATAGGGTGTAGGGTAAAAGGGTTACAAGGTTTAGAGGTTATAATGTGTAGGGGTTATAAGGTATAGGGGTTACAAGGTATAGGGGTTACAAGGTATAGGGTATACGAGTTCCAAGGTAAAGGGTATAGGGTATAGGTGTTCCAAGGTATAAGGTGTAGGGTATAGGGGTTACAAGGTGTAGGGGTTATAAGGTGTAGGGGTTATAAGGTATAGGGGTTACAAGGTATAGGGTATAGGGTATAGGGGTTACAAGGTATATGGTGTAGAGTATAGGGGTTACAAGGTGTAGGGGTTATAAGGTATAGGGGTTATAAGGTATAGGGGTTACAAGGTATAGGGGTTATAAGGTATAGGGGTTACAAGGTATAGGGGTTAGAAGGTATAGGGGATACAAGGTATAAGGAAAAGGGTATAGGGGTTACAAGGTATAGGGTGTATGGGTTACAAGGTGTAGGGGTTATAAGGTATAGGGGTTACAAGGTATAGGGGTTTCAAGGTATAGGGGTTATAAGGTATAGGGGTTACAAGGTATAGGGTATAGGGTACAGGGGTTCCAAGGTATAAGGTGTAGGGTATAGGGGTTACAAGGTGTAGGGGTTATAAGGTGTTGGGGTTATAAGGTCTAGGGGTTACAAGGTATAGGGTATAGGGTATTGGGGTTACAAGGTATATGGTGTAGAGTATAAGGTGTAGGGGTTATAAGGTATAGGGGTTATAAGGTATAGGGGTTACAAGGTATAGGGGTTATAAGGTATAGGGGTTACAAGGTATAGGGGTTACAAGGTATAGGGGTTATAAGGTATAGGGGTTACAAGGTATAGCTGTTACAAGGTGTAGGGATTATAAGGTATAGGGGTTACAAGGTATAGGGTGTAGGGTATAGGGGTTACAAGGTTCAGGGGTTAGGAGGTATAGGAGTTATAAGGTATAGGGGTTACAAGGTATAGGGGTTATAAGGTATAGGGGTTACAAGGTATAGCTGTTACAGGGTGTAGGGGTTATAAGGTATAGGGGTTACAAGGTATAGGGGTTACAAGGTATAGGGTATAGGGTATAGGGGTTACAAGGTATAGGGTGTAGGGTATAGGGGTTACAAGGTTCAGGGGTTAGGAGGTATAGGAGTTATAAGGTATAGGGGTTACAAGGTATAGGGGTTATAAGGTATAGGGGTTACAAGGTATAGGGTATAGGGGTTCCAAGGTATAGGGTATAGGGTATAGGGGTTACAAGGTATAGGGTGTAGGGTAAAAGGGTTACAAGGTTTAGAGGTTATAATGTGTAGGGGTTATAAGGTGTAGGGGTTACAAGGTATAGGGGTTACAAGGTATGGGGTATAGGAGTTCCAAGGTATAGGGTATAGGGTATAGGTGTTCCAAGGTATAAGGTGTAGGGTATAGGGGTTACAAGGTGTAGGGGTTATAAGGTGTAGGGGTTATAAGGTATAGGGGTTACAAGGTATAGGGTATAGGATATAGGGGTTACAAGGTATATGGTGTAGAGTATAGGGGTTACAAGGTGTAGGGGTTATAAGGTATAGGGGTTATAAGGTATAGGGGTTACAAGGTATAGGGGTTATAAGGTATAGGGGTTACAAGGTATGGGGGTTAGAAGGTATAGGGGATACAAGGTATAAGGTAAAGGGTATAGGGGTTACAAGGTATAGGGTGTATGGGTTACAAGGTGTAGGGGTTATAAGGTATAGGGGTTACAAGGTATAGGGGTTTCAAGGTGTAGGTGTTATAAGGTATAGGGGTTACAAGGTATAGGGTATAGGGTACAGGGGTTCCAAGGTATAAGGTGTAGGGTATACGGGTTACAAGGTGTAGGGGTTATAAGGTGTTGGGGTTATAAGGTATAGGGGTTACAAGGTATAGGGTATAGGGTATAGGGGTTACAAGGTATAGGGTGTAGGGTATAGGGGTTACAAGGTGTAGGGGTTATAAGGTATAGGGGTTATAAGGTATAGGGGTTACAAGGTATAGGGGTTATAAGGTATAGGGGTTACAAGGTATAGGGGTTATAAGGTATAGGGGTTACAAGGTATAGGGTATAGGGGTTCCAAGGTATAGGGTGTAGGGTATAGGGGTTACAAGGTGTAGGGGTTATAAGGTATAGGTGTTATAAGGTATAGGGGTTACAAGGTATAGGGGTTAGAAGGTGTAGGGGTTATAAGGTATAGGGGTTTCAAGGTATAGGGGTTATAAGGTATAGGGTGTAGGGTATAGGGGTTCCAAGGTATAGGGTGTAGTTTATCGGGTATATGGGTTACAAGGTATAGGGTGTAGGGTATAGGGTATAGGGGTTACAAGGTAGTGGTTGAAGGGTATCGCGGTTACAAGGTAAAGAGTGTTGGGTATAGGGTATAGGGGTAACAAGGTATAGGGTGTAGGGGTTATAAGGTATAGGAGATACATTGGTAGAGGTGTAAGGGTTAGTATTCAACTTAGATCTGCGCATGTGTATACCATACTTCCGCTTGAAGGGCTGCATTTCAAAACTGGTAAGTTCAGATTTCAAAATTGATACCTTTTGACTATTACGGTTGAATATATTTAGTTTATGGTTAACTTTCTTTGGTATTATTGTTCTTGCTTAGTCTTTCCAGTGAACATTTAACTGCAATTGACTCTGTTATATCTGTATGTAAAAAGCACGTGGGCAATAACATTGTATGCCTTGTTTATGTAATTCCCCTCTCTTGAAACCAATATATAAAATTTACACATACTTTCATTGCTTCATATATTTTTCAATCGATTTCCATGTATTTACCCTGAATCCATAAACTCCTTAATATGTATTTTATATCTCTGATACATCCAAGTTCTAATGTGCTAATAAACTTGTTTTCTGTCTATACCATATACCCTACACCCTATACCTTGCAACCCATATACCCTACACCCTAAACGTTGTTAACCTACACCCTATACCGTGTAACCCCTATACCCTTGACCCCTATACACTGTAACCCCTACACCCTACACCTTTTAACCCCTATACCCTATACCTTGGAGCCCCTATACCCTGTAACCACTACACCCTATACCCTATACCTTGTAACCCCTATACCCTTAACCCCCAACACCCTATACCTTGTAACACCTATACCCTGAACCCTATACCTTGTAACCACTATAACCTGTATCCTATACCTTGTAACCCCTATACCCTACACCCTATACTTTGTAGTCCCTATACCCTGTAACCCCTACACCCTATACCTCGTAACCCCTATAACTTGTAACCCCTACACCCTATACTTTGTAATTCCTATAGACTGTAACCCCTACACCCTATACCTTGTAACTCTTATACCTTGTAAACCGTACACCCTATACCTTTTAACCCCTATACCCTGTTACCCCTATACCCTGCAACCCCTAAACTTTATACCTTTTAACCCCTATACCCTATACCCTATACCTTGTAACCCCTATACCCTGTAACCCCTACACCCTAAACCTTTTAACTCCTATACCTTGTAACCCCTACACCCTATACCTTGTAACCCCTATACCCTGTAACCCCTACACCCTATACCTTGTAACTCTTATACCTTGTAACCATTACACCCTATACCCTGTAACGCCTACACCCTGTAACGCCTACACCCCATACTTGGTAACCCCTATATCCTGAAACTCCAACTTCCTATACCTTGTTACTTCTATACCCCATACCTTGTAACCCCTATAATCTCTAACCCCTGCACTTGTAACTCCTATACCTTATACCCTACAACCTATACCTTGTAACCCCTATACCCTGTAAACCCCTGCACCTTATACCTTGTAACCCTTATACCCTACACCCTATATCTTCTAACCCTTGTAACTTCTATATCCTATATGCTATACCCTATACCTTCTAATCCTTATAACCCCGACACCCTATACCCTACACCATGAGGTGTATACTTTATATCCTACATCTTACACCCTGTGATTGTTACCCCGGCACCCTCTACCTTGTAGCCCCTATTCTTTATACCTTTCACCTTGTCACGCTTGTAACCCCTACACCCTCTACTTTCTAACCCTTGTAATTCCTATATCCTATATGCTATACTTTATACCTTCTAAACCTTTTTACCCCTACACTCTAAATCCTACAGAGTTTTTAACATCTATAAAACTAAACAGAAAGTAAATTACACTAAACATTGAAGTAAATGATTTTTTATAAATCAGTTTTGAGCTGTTATTCCATTGTTGCAAAGATACGACCATGTTTTTTTCGTTTCTGCAGGGGAAGTAGCTTTCATTGAAATCAATCTCTAACCATGGCAGAAGAAAATGATGCTCATGATTTATCCGATTTGGATGCTGAGGCCTTTGAGGGTAAATTAAACATTAAATACAATTTATGAATCACTTATTTTCGATATACAATACTAAATAAACTCAAAAAATTCTTCTATTCGTGATAATAAGAAAGCATTAAATAAAACGTTTTATCATTGTTTTTGTTATATGCATAAAAGTTTCCTGATAATGTTTCTGCTTTCTTTTTACAACAAATAATAACTCATTACTATTTCCTTTAGAGCCCATATCGTTGGAGTATATGCGTGAAAACTTTATGGGGGTGGAGGAAGTGAGGGGCATCGTCATGGGACTTCAGAAAAATATTGATGAGAGACTGAATGACTTTGAGCAGAAGATGGAGAAGAAAATGGAGGAGCTCCAACATACCATCATCGGTAAATGTAAGGAGGACTATAATAAAAAGTTGTCAAGCATAAAGGAAACTTTGATAGAAACTTCCAAACAAGAAAAAGAAGACTTAAAAGATGAAGTAAGGAAAAGTTTGGAGGATGGGTTGTTTGTTCTGAAGAAGATCGACGTTATTCGAACCGCACAGGAGGATGTTGACAAAGATGTAAGCATTATCTCCGAAAATCAACCAGAGATGGCCCCACGGCCCCAAGAGAAGAAGCAGTCCACGCCAAAAATGGCCAAAGTGAACTGGAAGGACTTCCCGATGCAAGATGACTTCCTTCGGAGGGAACATGAGAACATGGGCTGGAAGAAAAACAATACCGTCAAAAAATCTATTTTTGATATGGGTCTCAAAAGAAAATTGTGGAACGACGATGAGGTTTGGAGAAAACGAGTATGTTATAAGATCGATGCCCAATACAAAGCGAACTTCTTGATGAGCGACACCAGATCCTCTCCTTCCTAAGGATAGTGTTGATGCTGGGAATTGGGATTAGGTTCTCAAGGACACGGTCCTTTGTCCATCAGAGATTTTGTTCTGCTTTTCTTTTCTGACAAAACAAACAGTTGTCAGTTTTTTTAAATTTACTTTAATAGAATACAAATAACAGTTTTGAGATTTAAAGAGAAAAAAACTCTTCTTATTGAGCAAAATATTTCAGAATTGTAAATTTTAATTTTTCTTCAATGTGATTTGAACCTCTATTGTGCAGCAATTTTTTTAAAGTCATTTTTTATATGCCTTTCAATGTCTTAATTTTGACATTTCCTTATGAAAGAGTTTCCATTTTTAACTTGTGTAAAAGTTTTAATGAATGGTAGATTTAGCAGCTGTTTAGTAATTCTATTATTATTAAAATTTTACAATTACGGAAAAAATTATTCTTTTCTCTTTGCTGCTCGCAAAAGGGCAGCTCTAAATGCATTAAATGTTCTGTCTGGAATTCCTCTTCTTTTACATTCGTTTACGTAATCTTTATACATAATTTGGTATGAGTTCTTCCCCTTCCTTATTATGTCATGCAAGATGTTCATCTCAAATGTGTTCCAAGGAAGAAATAGTCTTGCCGGAACATGCCGGCCCGGGACATGCTGTATATTTTGTTCTTCTGGTTCTTTCTCAACAACAGGAACTTCTAACGGTAAATTGGCGTTTTCAATTTCGTTTTCCTCTATATCTGTTCCACTTTTTTCAAAAGGCTTTGAACAATCAAACTTGTGTGGAATATCTTCATATATTCGATAAATTCGTTTTGCCATGGGACCCCGGAGAAAAAATACAGAAAGAACTTTAACCATTTGCAGTTCTTGCTGTGTAATTGGTAATTCTTTCACATAAGCAAGTAAAGAGCTAAAGTTCACATAATATCCGTTTTGTATCAAACATACACATGTTACAAACGTTAAAACCCGAAGTAAATTCTCTTGACCCAGCTCCAGTCCTCTAAGCCGTTGACAAGTTTCAAAAACCCATGGAAATTCTGCATTGGCATTAATGAATTTGCTTCTAAATACTAGGTTTTCTTTTTCCATTTCATTTATAATGTTTGCGGTCAAAAGTTTTACATCGTACGTATTTGTTTCCGCGAACAGATTTCCATATAATATCTTTAATACTTGCCAGTTAGTCCATTTGAATCCACGTTTGATTCTATAGCAGGGAAAATATTTCACATTCAGGTGATTTAGGCCAGCCAACAAGATGTTTGCAATATCTTTTTTTTCACCTTTCATCATTTCCAATGCCCTTCCGAAAGTGAAAGGGAAGTGAAAAATATCCGCCCTGCTCAGATCTTTACATAACTGTTCCGCTGATACAGATAAAATACAGGAAGCCCATGAAGGCACGCTTGCCTGTCTTAGGTCGTGTGTCAGTGAGGGGATCTTATGGCTCTCATCCCTGCTATATTTTATATCTTCAATGAGTAGAAGAACTACTCTTGTTCCTAAAATTATATCATTGCAAGAAAGGAAGTCTCCAAATGAGAATAATCTTTGGATTCTTTCAATTTGTGACTTTAAAGTAGTCCAGTGATGCAGCGGCGGTGGTGAGCTTTCATCCAGAGCGCAGTCACTACTGGATTCCAGACATAAAAAACCATATTCGAAGGTAACAGACCGATTATTTTTTCCATCACCAGGACCAAGGTTTCGCGATAAAATGGCGTCTGTGTAAGAGTTCAGTTTTCCCCACCATAACATTTCGTTACACAATTCGTACTGATAAGCTTCCCAGCTGGGAAGCATTTTGCCCAAGCCATTATTTTCTTCTTTCAATTTGACCAATGTGTGAAAAATTAGCTCAGCTATTTTCTTTATGAAAGAAATAAAACTTAATCTTTGACCGCAATATATTACCGTTTCTTGAAAAGGCACAACCATAGGATACTTATCCATAAGTAATTCTAAATGTTCTAGGTTAATTATTTCCTTTGCAATCAGCACTGACGGAATATCGTCCAAGGACACAACAACTTCGAGACGCATTGGCATGGCTTCTCCTAATTTATGGCAGTTTTCACGACATACAGAGAGATAATCATCAGAAAGTCGGGAAAGGTGAGCAGTTGATTTAGGATGCAGTAAATTACATGTCGCTATAAGACCAGATAGAGGATGCTTAGCGCTGCAATGCATGTGGGGCGAATCTGCGTATAATTGCAAAAATCTCAAATTATTGGGATGCATGCACACATTCCTCAGTTCATCCGAGATATCGTTTGGACGACCATCTAAATTTGTTTGAAAATTGCAGCAATCTCTAAAGGAAAGGACTGGAAGTAATGATCCTCGAAAGCCTACAAGCTTCTGAATTCCGTCACGTGACCAGAAAAAGTGAATTTTGTCATCTATGCTCTTGAATGTTACGGCAATATGGGTGGTAAGAGATGTAACTAGTTCAAGGCAAAAATCAGTTGCAAGTTGGATTTGAACGGAATCTCTCTCTCCAAAACGAAAAGCTACAATGGAAATTCGATGATGCGGAGGAGCCTGACATGCAATCAAAGTCTTATCTAATATGGCCATGACAAAGGATTGATCTTTTGCCAAAACCCTCCATTTTGAAACGTCAAAGATCGAATTCTTCTTAAAAGTGTCTTTACACAATTCCTTTGGTGATAATTTCAGAAGATTGTTTTGGAAGGTGGACTTTACTCGATTAAAGTACTGGTTTGCAAACAATTTGTAGTTTAAAGCACTGGGCAGGTCAAAAGATGAATCTATATTTGGTAGTGGTATCAGCGCTAAATTCACTTGCCACCCAAATGAACTGAAAAGTTGTATACCATTGCACATTTTTAATAAAGAAAATGAAGTTCTCTGATATTGAGTTATATCTATGTGCTTCTTAAGAATCGGGTACATGGATATAATACTACCATCACCTCTTGGTAAAAGGTTCATGTAAAAAACTGGGAATTTGATAGCCGTCAATGCCTTCATCTCCAGTACAACTCCGTCAATGTCGAGATTGCTCTGCATTAAACAATATATTTCTCCAAACGTAGCATTAACACAGCGCGTTGATATAAATCCTCCTTCAGACCGATGCAGAAATGAATGTACGTCCTTATATTTTAAGAAAGTCGAACAAAAAGATATCGAATTCTCCTTTGCAACTTTCAGAAAAGATTCTTCCTGCTGATAACCGTTTTCTGATAACGGATCCATACTGATTACCTATAAAATAAATGAAATAAAGTAAACCTTTTTGTTTGTATTTAAAGAAATATTTTGTGCTTAAAGAGCGAACCTTTAACCTCACTAATGGATTTTAGAAATGATATCATAATGTAAGTGTAACATAGGATAGGCTGTATGGTGTAGGGGTTACATTGTAACCCTGTGGTAGCGGATTTAGGGTGTAAGGTATAGGTTTAACAAAAAATAAAATTTAGGGGCTTTAAGGCTTAGACTATGCGACTGAGAGGTTTGGGTTATAGAAATTAGGGTGAAAGGTATAATGTGTAAAAGTTAAAATGATTAGGGTATAGGGTGTAAATGAGGTATAGGTATAGAGTATAGGGTGTAGGTTACAAAGCATAGGGTATAAGGTATAATGGTTATAAGGTATAGGGTATAGTTAGAAGAGTGTTGGGTATATGCTGTAGGGGGTGGGGTTACAAGGTATAGGATTTAGGGTGCAGGCTGTAGGGTATAGGGTATAAAGCGTCGGGGTTACAAGGTATAGGGTGTATCATGTAGTGAGGAATAGGGTGTAAGGTATAGAGTGTAGGGTGTAAGAAAGATGGGGTAAGGTTACAAGGTATAGGGTGTAAGGGTTATAAGGTACAGGGATTAGGGTGTGGGTGTAGCGTATAGGGTATGGGTTGTAGGGTGTATGGGTTACATGGTATAGGGTGTAGGGGTTACAAGGTAAAGGGTTTAGGGTATAAGGTATAGGGTGCAGGGTATAGGGTATATGGTGTAAGGTATTGGGCGTAGGGGTTACAAGGTCTAGGGTATAGGGGTTACAAGGTATAGGGTGTAGCCTTTAGGATATAAGATGTTGGGTGAAGGGTATAGGGTGTAGCCTGTAAGGTATAGGGTATATGGTATAGGGTGTAGGGGTTACAAGGTAAAGGGTGTAGGGCATAAGGTATAAGGTAAAAGCTATAGAGTAAAGGGTATTTTGTTTAAGGTATAGGGTATGGGGTATAGGATGTAGGGGTTACAATGTAAAGGGTGTAGGGTGTACGGTATAGGGTGTAGGGTGTAGGGGTTAGAAATATAGGGTATAGGGTGTAGGGGTTACAAAGCATAGGCTGTAGGGTGTCGGTTATGGGGAATAGGGAATAGACTGTAGCGGTTACAACCTATTGGTTATGATAAATAGCTTGTGGATTGTTGTGTAAGTTGTTTTGCTAAAAGATTATTATATAATAACGTATAAATATACTCAATAACGAAACATGTTGAAGTAAGGCAATGTTCAATATTTTTAAAAAATAAACATTCCATTATAATTAAAATATTTATTTAATTAGGGTTTTTCAATCGCAATTTCATATTAAGCAAAATTATGGATTTCTCTCTGTGATGCTCACATTGTGAATGTGGACGGCCTTCAGATTAACAACATAAGTTTTCATTTGGAGATAATCATATAGATCTCCCTTTCTGTTATTTTTAAAAAATACATCAAATTCAATATACATTTTTCCGTACAGTGTATATTATAGAAATATAGTAAAAATCAAATTACCTACCTCATTAAATGAAAATAAATGTATAAATCCTTTCAAAGTAGTAGTCAATATGGCGTCAAGTCAATGAAACAGTATATGAGCAATTCATATAAAAATAGATGAACAAAATGCATGCGCAGAAAATTCTATTTATAGTCAACGGAAAATAAAATTTATTTTTAGTAACATGATCAAGTCTTCTTGATCAAGAGGACAGGTCTACTACTAACCCTAACCCTAACCCTAACCCTAACCCTAACCCTAACCCTAACCCTAACCCTAACCCTAACCCTAACCCTAACCCTAACCCTAACCCTAACCCTAACCCTAACCCTAACCCTAACCCTAACCCTAACCCTAACCCTAACCCTAACCCTAACCCTAACCCTAACCCTAACCCTAAACCCTAACCCTAACCCTAACCCTAACCCTAACCCTAAACCCTAACCCTAACCCTAACCCTAACCCTAACCCTAACCCTAACCCTAACCCTAACCCTAACCCTAACCCTAACCCTAACCCTAACCCTAACCCTAACCCTAACCCTCAAACCCTAACCCTAACCCGAACCCTAACCCTATAGGGTCTAGAAATAGGGGTTAACCCAATATAGGGTATAGGGTATAGGGGTTACAAGGTATAGGGTGTAGGGTATAGGGGTTACAAGGTTCAGGGGTTAGTAGGTATAGGAGTTATAAGGTATAGGGGTTACAAGGTATAGGGGTTATAAGGTATAGGGGTTACAAGGTATAGGGTATAGGGTATAGGGGTTACAAGGTAAGGTATAGGGTATAGGGGTTACAAGGTATAGGGTGTAGGGTAAAAGGGTTACAAGGTTTAGAGGTTATAATGTGTAGGGGTTATAAGGTATAGGGGTTACAAGGTATAGGGGTTACAAGGTATAGGGGGGTTACAAGGTAAAGGGTATAGGGTATAGGTGTTCCAAGGTATAAGGTGTAGGGTATAGGGGTTACAAGGTGTAGGGGTTATAAGGTGTAGGGGTTATAAGGTATAGGGGTTACAAGGTATAGGGTATAGGGTATAGGGGTTACAAGGTATATGGTGTAGAGTATAGGGGTTACAAGGTTAGGGTTTATAAGGTATAGGGGTTATAAGGTATAGGGGTTACAAGGTATAGGGGTTATAAGGTATAGGGGTTACAAGGTATAGGGGTTAGAAGGTATAGGGGATACAAGGTATAAGGAAAAGGGTATAGGGGTTACAAGGTATAGGGTGTATGGGTTACAAGGTGTAGGGGTTATAAGGTATAGGGGTTACAAGGTATAGGGGTTTCAAGGTATAGGGGTTTAGGGTATAGGGGTTACAAGGTATAGGGTATAGGGTATAGGGTTACTTGGTAATGTGTTTTGGGTATAGGGTATAGGGGTTACAAGGTGTAGGGGTTATAAGGTGTTGGGGTTATAAGGTATAGGGGTTACAAGGTATAGGGTATAGGGTATTGGGGTTACAAGGTATAGTTTGTAGGGTGTATGGGTTACAAGGTGAAGGGGTTATAAGGTATAGGGGTTACAAGGTATAGGGGTATAGGGGTTAAGGTATAGGGGTTACAATGTATAGGAATAGGGGTTACAAGGTATAGGGGTTATAAGGTATAGGGGTTACAAGGTATAGCGGTTACAAGGTGTAGGGATTATAAGGTATAGGGGTTACAAGGTATAGGGTGTAGGGTATAGGGGTTACAAGGTTCAGGGGTTAGGAGGTATAGGAGTTATAAGGTATAGGGGTTACAAGGTATAGGGGTTATAAGGTATAGGGGTTACAAGGTATAGGGGTTAGAAGGTGTAGGGGTTATAAGGTATAGGGGTTACAAGGTATAGGGGTTACAAGGTATAGGGTATAGGGTATAGGGGTTACAAGGTATAGGGTGTAGGGTATAGGGGTTACAAGGTATGGGGGTTATAAGGTATAGGGGTTACAAGGTATAGCTGTTACAAGGTGAAGGGGTTATAAGGTATAGGGGGGTTACAAGGTATAGGGTATAGGGGTTCCAAGGTATAGGGTGTAGGGTATAGGGGTTACAAGGTATAGGGTGTAGGGTATAGGGGTTACAAGGTTCAGGGGTTAGGAGGTATGGGTGTTATAAGGGGTAGGGGTTACAAGGTATGGGGGTTACAAGGTATAGGGTATAGGGTATAGGTGTTCCAAGGTATACGGTGTAGGGTATAGGGGTTACAAGGTGTAGGGGTTATAAGGTGTAGGGGTTATAAGGTATAGGGGTTAAAAGGTATAGGGGTTACGAGGTATAGGGGTTTCAAGGTATAGGGGTTATAGGGTATAGGGGTTATAAGGTATAGGGGTTACAAGGTATAGGGGTTATAAGGTATAGGGGTTACAAGGTATAGGGGGGTTATAAGGTATAGGGGTTACAAGGTATAGGGGTAAAGGGTATAGGGGTTACAAGGTATAGGGTATAGGTGTATAGGGGTTACAAGGTGTAGGGGTTATAAGGTATAGGGGTTACAAGGTATAGGGGTTAGAAGGTGTAGGGGTTATAAGGTATAGGGGTTACAAGGTATAGGGTATAGGGTATAGGGGATCCAAGTTATAAGGTGTAGGGTATACGGGTTACAAGGTGTAGGGGTTATAAGGTGTTGGGGTTATAAGGTATAGGGGTTACAAGGTATAGGGTATAGGGTATAGGGGTTACAAGGTATAGGGTGTAGAGTATAGGGGTTACAAGGTGTAGGGGTTATAAGGTATAGGGGTTATAAGGTATAGGGGTTACAAGGTATAGGGGTTATAAGGTATAGGGGTTACAAGGTATAGGGGTTATAAGGTATAGGGGTTACAAGGTATAGGGTATAGGGGTTCCAAGGTATAGGGTGTAGGGTATAGGGGTTACAAGGTGTAGGGGTTATAAGGTATAGGTGTTATAAGGTATAGGGGTTACAAGGTATAGGGGTTAGAAGGTGTAGGGGTTATAAGGTATAGGGGTTTCAAGGTATAGGGGTTATAAGGTATAGGGTGTAGGGTATAGGGGTTCCAAGGTATAGGGTGTAGTTTATCGGGTATATGGGTTACAAGGTATAGGGTGTAGGGTATAGGGTATAGGGGTTACAAGGTAATGGGTGAAGGGTATCGCGGTTACAAGGTAAAGAGTGTTGGGTATAGGGTATAGGGGTAACAAGGTATAGGGTGTAGGGGTTATAAGGTATAGGAGATACATTGGTAGAGGTGTAAGGGTTAGTATTCAACTTAGATCTGCGCATGTGTATACCATACTTCCGCTTGAAGGGCTGCATTTCAAAACTGGTAAGTTCAGATTTCAAAATTGATACCTTTTGACTATTACGGTTGAATATATTTAGTTTATGGTTAACTTTCTTTGGTATTATTGTTCTTGCTTAGTCTTTCCAGTGAACATTTAACTGCAATTGACTCTGTTATATCTGTATGTAAAAAGCACGTGGGCAATAACATTGTATGCCTTGTTTATGTAATTCCCTTCTCTTGAAACCAATATATAAAATTTACACATACTTTCATTGCTTCATATATTTTTCAATCGATTTCCATGTATTTACCCTGAATCCATAAACTCCTTAATATGTATTTTATATCTCTGATACATCCAAGTTCTAATGTGCTAATAAACTTGTTTTCTGTCTATACCATATACCCTACACCCTATACCTTGCAACCCATATACCCTACACCCTAAACGTTGTTAACCTACACCCTATACCGTGTAACCCCTATACCCTTGACCCCTATACACTGTAACCCCTACACCCTACACCTTTTAACCCCTATACCCTATACCTTGGAGCCCCTATACCCTGTAACCACTACACCCTATACCCTATACCTTGTAACCCCTATACCCTTAACCCCCAACACCCTATACCTTGTAACACCTATACCCTGAACCCTATACCTTGTAACCACTATAACCTGTATCCTATACCTTGTAACCCCTATACCCTACACCCTATACTTTGTAGTCCCTATACCCTGTAACCCCTACACCCTATACCTCGTAACCCCTATAACTTGTAACCCCTACACCCTATACTTTGTAATTCCTATAGACTGTAACCCCTACACCCTATACCTTGTAACTCTTATACCTTGTAAACCGTACACCCTATACCTTTTAACCCCTATACCCTGTTACCCCTATACCCTGCAACCCCTAAACTTTATACCTTTTAACCCCTATACCCTATACCCTATACCTTGTAACCCCTATACCCTGTAACCCCTACACCCTAAACCTTTTAACTCCTATACCTTGTAACCCCTACACCCTATACCTTGTAACCCCTATACCCTGTAACCCCTACACCCTATACCTTGTAACTCTTATACCTTGTAACCCCTACACCCTATACCCTGTAACGCCTACACCCTGTAACGCCTACACCCCATACTTGGTAACCCCTATACCCTGAAACTCCAACTTCCTATACCTTGTTACTTCTATACCCCATACCTTGTAACCCCTATAATCTCTAACCCCTGCACTTGTAACTCCTATACCTTATACCCTACAACCTATACCTTGTAACCCCTATACCCTGTAAACCCCTGCACCTTATACCTTGTAACCCTTATACCCTACACCCTATATCTTCTAACCCTTGTAACTTCTATATCCTATATGCTATACCGTATACCTTCTAATCCTTATAACCCCGACACCCTATACCCTACACCATGAGGTGTATACTTTATATCCTACATCTTACACCCTGTGATTGTTACCCCGGCACCCTCTACCTTGTAGCCCCTATTCTTTATACCTTTCACCTTGTCACGCTTGTAACCCCTACACCCTCTACTTTCTAACCCTTGTAATTCCTATATCCTATATGCTATACTTTATACCTTCTAAACCTTGTTACCCCTACACTCTAAATCCTACAGAGTTTTTAACATCTATAAAACTAAACAGAAAGTAAATTACACTAAACATTGAAGTAAATGATTTTTTATAAATCAGTTTTGAGCTGTTATTCCATTGTTGCAAAGATACGACCATGTTTTTTTCGTTTCTGCAGGGGAAGTAGCTTTCATTGAAATAAATCTCTAACCATGGCAGAAGAAAATGATGCTCATGATTTATCCGATTTGGATGCTGAGGCCTTTGAGGGTAAATTAAACATTAAATACAATTTATGAATCACTTATTTTCGGTATAC